AGCCACTTCATTCAGGAGACAGGAAAGAAATAGCGCACCACAGATCTTCTCTTTCCTCCACAGACAGCTCCCTGTGATCAGTCACCAACCATATAAAACACTTGACATCCATGATTTTTGTGTGTTCTTTGATTTCTTTTCTGTCGTTTCTTCTCTTTCCTGTTTCCCCTTGTGGCGTGGAGTGCATCTATTGTTTCACAAATGCCCTCTTCAGGCAGGGATTGTCATTTTATCAATATTTCCTTGACCCAGACAAGGAGCACCCTGCTGAGGGTGATCAGAATTGGCTGTGGTGGGTTTATCTACTCGAAGCATGGTCAGGATCGGTGCGTTGAGTGTTTGGGCTTATACCAGCGTAGCCCCCGTGTTTACACTGCAACCCTCTTCCGAAGCGCACATCTGCTGTTTCTCAGAGCATCAGAAGAAGCAAAATCCCGTCAGTCTTCCAATTCATATCTGTCGTCCTCCGGGGTAGTGCGGGCTAAGCTGCAGAGGTGATCAGATTAAAGGTGCCCTGGCCTTCCAAACTGCTACCTTTGCAGTTAGATGATTGGTTTCTGAGGTGTTGTCCTGATAGGTAAAGGGGTTTAGCTCCTCTGAAAACCACAGGAGTGTAGGCTCCTATCTGGGTAACCAGTATAGGTGTGGGGATTACACCACACAACGAAGTGCTTCATTGGGCCGTTGTAATTGGTAAGAGATTGGCCTTTCTGATGACCATTCCCAATGTCAATCTTTTGTCACATGTCAAAGTGAAAGGAAGCTGGAAGAAACCAGTGGAACCCAGATACTGTCAGTAGAAGTCTAGACAAAAGTGGTCTGGGTGGAAGAGTTGGCAACAGGGTTACAAAGGTAACCTTAGATGTTCTGTACTGATGGCATTGCTGAAAAATTTACATATTTCCTACTTTTCATGATCATGTTTCTTTGTTCTTTTCTTGGCTGACCACTGGGGATATGATCCTCAATCTTTGCTTCTTCAAAAGAGCTTCAAGAGAACACCTTCAAACCCTAGTCTGCTTTGAAACCTTTGTCTAGGAAAGACCTTGTTGATGCAGGATAACTAACTTGTTTTTTGTTGCTGTGCTCAATCTTGCCATGACAGCAAAGTGTCTTTTTCAACTTCACCTTGGTAGCAGACTCCTTTACAAAGTTTCCAACGGTTCACGGTATATATTGAACCGTTTCGGTGCGGCCTGTTCGGTTCGGTACACTTGTGTACCGTTTCGGTATATTTTTTTAATTAAATAATATAAATTTATTATTAGCGCGATATTAAGCGCAGTGGAACAATGTTCCTAGGTGAGTTTCCGCATGGGCGCTATTGAGTGACGCACAGTAGAGCAACACTAGAGCTGTGAGAAATGGCAACAGCGAAAGAGAAGCCAGAGCTTGAAGACCCTCCCACCTCACTACGGTCTCCTGTTTGGGAACACGTTGGCTTCTCTGTTAAAATACATAACGGGGATAGACGAGTGGATAAATTTAAAGTTGTATGCGACATTGTTCCACGGAGATCAACACATCTAACATTTTCTACTGCTGGAGATATTGTCACTGCAACCAGATCTGTGCTCTCTTCAGAAAATGTGGATAGGTTAATCTTTTTAGCCAAAAACTTGAAACTTGAATAGTTGGTTTTGTTGATATAGAAGCTGAAGCTGTTGCTAGTGTTATAAAGTTTTCAGGTCCTAACTAGTTGCAGTATTTAATTTTTATTAAAAAAATGTGTTTTTTTTTTATAAAGAGTGCAATTTATTTAAAATATCACCCAAATGTGTCACTTTTATTTATTTTATGCAAGAATTCCTGTGTATTGGCAGCTTTTCAAAATAAAGATTTTGTAAGTTCTTATTGTTTTGTACCGAAAATGAACCAAACCGAACTCTACAAGACACTGTACTGAACCGAATACGATTTTAACGTACCGTTACACCCCTAATGTGAAAGCATTCCTTTAAGAATCAAAGCTATAATGAAAAATCCACAAATAACTTTAGCTGAAATAAAGGGCTCTCTGAAAATATGTGGTGTGGCTGTTTCATGGAGCACAATAGACTCTTGAAAAAATAAGTTGCATTGTTGAGTTGCCAGAAGAAATGCCACAAGCAATATGCCAAATAGCTCAGAGACTCCTGGAACAAAGTTATTTTTAGCAATGAGACCAAAATTGAACTTTTTAGCCACAACCATAAACACTACTTTTAGAAAGGAACCGAACACCATCCCCACTGTGAAATACGGAGGTGAGTCACTGATGTTTTGGAGATGTGTGCAGGCCAAAGGATCAGAGAACTTGGTGAAAATTTATGGGAAGATGAATGCAGCATGTTCTCAAAGGGAAAACTGTGCATGGGACGTTACTGGACATTCTAACGCGATCCAAGTGGTGTCGTGGCCTAGGTCACTGGTTCGATCCCCAGGTCCACTGGGAGTCGAAGGTGGGATGAGAGTTGAAACTCTCTCCTTCCTGAGACAACCATTACTATGGCGACCTTGACCAAGTCACCAGTTAACACTGCTCCCGGTGTGTGTTCACGGTGTGTTTATTCACTGCTGTGTGTGTGCACTTGGATGGGTTAAATGCAGAGCACAAATTCTTTGTACAAACTCCATACTTGGTCGTAATGTCACTTTCACTTTCAAAACACAAGGACAAGTCCATTTGTCATTGGTTCCACCAGAACTCCTGACCTTAATAACATTGAAACAATCTGGGGAGAAGAATGGGCTGCTTTACCAACATAGAGGATAAAGAACTTCATTGACAACTACCTCAAGAGACTTCAGGCTGCCATTAATATTAAAGTGGGAAATACAAAATATTAAGAGATATTTTACTCCCTGCTCCGTATGATGAATGGGTTTTTAAAGTCAGTGTAAGGGCATGCTAATTTTTAAAGGTTTGCCAAATCTAAAACATTTTGTTCTGTAATATATCATATATCATAGTGGCTTGTAGGTTTGATTGCTTTTGTTATTTGGCAAAGATTATAAGCAAGCCTGGGTGAGGAAATGAGGAGTATTTATCGGTTTATTTGAGAGGCAGCATAAGAAGGCAACAGGGAGGTCGAAGGCTCATGGGGCACAAATTACCATTCCTTCAGTAGATGAATCAGTTCTTCTGTGCCACTTTCCCACAGCCTGCCCCTGTCATTCTCAGCAGATACTATCAAACCTTCAAAGATTTACTAATATCTCAAAGCCTAACTTAAATTCCCAATATTCTCATTTACTATGTGAACTGAGTTGAACAGGCTATTGAACGTCGGCTACTATATCCGTCTAGACTTTTGGTTTTGTTGTCTGTGTGAAGTTAAGGTACATTGAATACATGTGGGATCATTTGGACTCCATGAACTGATATAAGCACTAATCCAAACAATGAACGCCCCGTAATTGAGAATAATAGTTCCTATGTGAACCACCCACCAACACCCAAGTGGCGGTGCTTGACAGTATCGTTTAACAATGATTAAACTTCCTGAAATCAAAACAAAGACATCCCTTATATTTCAAAACAACCAAAGGACTAAATTGTTGCATCAATAATGAACATCTAAAAACGTAACTCAGTATAATCAAATTAGCCTCGTCATTTGGGGAAAACTACAGGAAGTCATCAGATAATAGTCAAAGAATCCCTCAAGGCACACTGTCTGATCCCACAGTCAAAGCAAACTTCTTTGATTTTAGAAAAAAGTTTGCAAACACTTGTCCAACATGCATTTTCACCTATAAACCAACGAGGATTTTTAAATGGTGGGTCTATTCCTCCCATTGTGGCAACTTTTTAGAAAGTTCACGCATCAGGGAACAAGTGTGTAGTGTGCCAAGTTGTGAAAATGTCTGAGCTCAGTGCCATTAACACGTATTAACTCCAGGATTAATCCAATAATATGATATTTGAGGCCAAGCAAACCCCAATTATTTATCATTTGATGCTCCAGAATTTCAAAGTAAAAAAAATATGACCACTAATACAACATATGCTTAAAAGGATCTTAAACAATGTTTCCATATGTTTAAGAAACGTAGTTCGGGAGGAGTTCAGTAAATCACCATGGCAACACTGCCTTATATTCAGTTAAGCAGTTTAAGCTGTATCAATTGTCCTAATGCCTTCATGCCCCCCTCTGCCACCCCTTCACCACTCATGGAGGTATTCTCAGCGCGCTTCTTGTCTCGAGAGCCCCTCCTGTATAACCCAACTGTTTCACATAACCTCACCTGCCAAATGCGCCTAAAGACTCCATTCCATTTGAAAAATAGGTGACCTCACATGGTGCCTGATTTTAATGATAATAGCTTTCTCACATTTGTAAAAGTAGTCAAGGAAATGGAATTTTCACTGGCAAATCATGGCAGAGCAGCTGAATCCAAGCCATACTTCACCAAGTTCTTCGAAATCTGTTCTCTGGAGGATGCAGAACCTGGATTGAGACACAACTCTGGAGTTACGTCTGAAAGAGCGTCTGTAGAGCAATGGAAAATATGCATTATTCATCTGGTTTACTTACTGAATATGATACAACTCCATTCCCTTGCATCCTGTTCTGTCTTGTCCTCACTACATTTCACACTGGAATTTGATCTTGTGTTACTTTTGTCATTCTCTCCATCTGACATCCAGTAACTGAATAGGGAATGAGAGGGCAGGGATAATTTTGTCTGGCTATATTTCTTTAACCCCAATCTTACTTTTGTGAAAACCAAACCATTGGCAAAACAATAATCTGAATAGTCTTAATAACTATCTTTGCTTTCAGTTGTTTTGACCAAATAAAATAAAATATGGGAGTAAGAGGGTTTCACTTTTAATGTACAGTTCTGTTCATTTTTGTTCTTGTCTGTTCAAACTGATTCCAGAAAAAAATTAATTAATTAATTGTCTAACCCGTTTATTCCCGTTTTTGGGGTCACAGGGGTCTGCCTATCTCCGGGGCACATTGGTTAATCATTACCAAATTAATGCATTGATACCAAATTAATTTCATTGCTTTCTTGTGACCCAGTTGGTAGAGCATTGTGCCAACAGTGCAAGGGTTGTGGGTTCAAATCCCAGAGATAAACAAGAACTGACAAAAAAAAATGTTCATTCTTTCATATATAAGTCTCTTTGGATAAAAGCGTCTGCTAAATGTATAAATGACATTCCTTATTTTGGCTGGGAACAGTCACACCTGCTGCCCATTTTCCCTCCACCTGATCCTCATAATTATTCACCCTATATCTGTCTTCCTTCTTTCTGAGACTGTGTGTTTGACTGCAGATTTCTTTTCTATTTACTTGTGAGTAAACAATTAACGATGACTCTTTTATGATTCATAGCAAACAAAAAATTTCCTCCTCTCCTTTCCAGATATTACATTATGTGTTTTTGAGAGAAAAGGTCCCAAAAGGAAATTTATTTTTGTCTTAATTAATTGTTGTTGCTTATTCATGTTGTCAGTTGTACATGTACAATTAACAATGCACTTACACTGAGAAGTACTGCTTGCACTGGAAGCACTAATGCCCTGGTACTTGTGGGCTCTGGGTTAAGAGCAGTGAGCCGCGGCATGGCTCCCTGGGCTTAGAGCTGCTGGTGGCACCTGTCTCCTCTTCAGCGCCAGCCGGGAGAGCACTATATGCCTCCTGATCTCCAGGCTAATTACATTTGGAGTACAGCCAGAGCTGGATCTTTCACAACATGCTCACCCTGCCCTGCTAGCTACCAGTTTCACCAATGGCATGCAATCTTTAGCATAATGGATCTTTGAATGTAGAGATACAGTTCTATGTTCTTTTGGTTTGTATGGCTTTGTTTTCTTTAATCTGCACTTTTACTGCCCTTTAGAGAGATGCATGATAATTATATTAATAACACATCACATACTTTACAGTTTTAACTGTATCAGGGCTCCTCTGAGAACCAAATCTGTGTTTGCCATATCTGTCAAGTCTCCAGTTTTGGTCAAGAATTTACCATATTTTACCCCTCTCTTCCGCCTTCCTCCTAAATGAGTATTTTCTTGTAAAGAAAATCCATATTATAACACAGTGTACCTGGGAGCAGACTCTCACAAGGTAAGTAACGATGTCCGTCAGTACAGTTTATTCTCATGTTATGTCGATCACTCGAAAAGAGGATGCAAAGTCTGCAACAGATTGGAAACCAATTGCGTCACCAATCCATTGCAGGGAAAGACAATAGATTAGATTATTAGGTTTAGATTATTCAATTAACCTAAAGCATGTTTTTGGGATTGTGGTGTAAACTGGAATTCCCAGAAGAAACCCCACCAAGCACGGCGAGCCTTGAACCAGCAACCTTCTAAGTGAAAAGTCACCCAATGTTCAGCCATGCCGCTATGTTAAAATTACAAATAAAAAGAAAATTTATTCTGGCCCCATAGTGTAGTGGAAGGTGCACCAATTTTTTTTTTTAGTTCCATCATGCTTTTTGTGCCAGAACTTTGAAAAAGACAGGCCATCTCACAGGTGTTGTACTTTCAAGGGTTATCCCTTCTTTTCTCTACTAGATGACACTGATAGGCCTGTTAAATTGAGCTGAAGACGATCAAACCTTTTCTCACATTTTAATTTGATTTACCTTCAAATTGTGTCGAGTGTTTATTGTGTTTGAATTTCAATTTGTTTTGCATTTCAAACCAAAAGTGTCAAAACTACTAACCTTTTTGAAACCTACACATTATATTTGAAATCAAAATTAAACAATTGCAGGGTTGCGTCATTCTTACTGAATTCAATGCAGCCAGTAGTTATTTTAGTTATTTACACTTAATTAAAGGAGTTTAACTGTATTGTAAACTATTTTGTATAGTGTATTGTATTAATTAAGTAGCGTTTGACAAGTAGTTATTTAGCTGCAGTGGATAATTTATATTTTTTTTTTCAATCCAAAACTTGACAGGTATAGTGTTGGAATCTCATCCAGGGACAAAGCCACTTGCACATCTAATAAGGGTTCATCAGAAACTGGAGCTTCACTTCTCGGTGGTTTTCATGTATCCTGCATTTTTTCAAGGAACAGAAGAACATTTTCATCCTTTTTTTTTTCAAATAACAAAAAAGTTGAAAATGACAGTACAGTCGCCATGATGTACGACAGAGATAAGCTCTTCTTTTCCCAGATGACACAACCCTTCTGCTGCCCGCAGCCAAACTGACTTTTTTGTAAGCTTGCTAGTTTTCCCTAACCGCACCTATATTATTTACAATGGCACTGGATAAAATCTAGTCTCAGAAGAGTTAATCAGTCATTGGAGTTACTTATCAAGGACTGCAGAAGTGTACTGTCACCAAGCACTTTGTGTTACTGGGAGGAAACTACCTCATGGGGAAGTTAGATGTTATAGATTTAGTACAAAATTAGCCTATAGCAGTGGGGAGAAAAATAAAGAGTAAAACTTATATTTAAGAGCCGCAAATGTGCAGATTTTTTTGGGATATTTCTTACAATAAACTTGGTCTTAAAGAGATCATGACATGTGGAGCCTTTTAGTGGCTTTTATAGTGATTTATAAGAGTAGATTGAATCAAAAATCAAACCATGGAAAAAAATGGTTTTATTAACACCATTGACAAAGTCACGTGAGTCAAATTGTTACATCAAGGCTGGAAATGAAAGGCCCGATTTCCCTCCACCGGAAGTGATGTGCTATACACAAAGCAACACCTTCTCTTGTGATATCTGCAAACAAATGTGCATGAGTCAAGTCAAACGGGGAGAAAGATGGAGCTAAGAACACAATTTACGTCAATTTATTGTCAATAAATGAAGTTGGTAAACCACAATGAAACAGACTCCATCATTCAACACAACTGTGGTGAACAGGGCGTTTCTTGCATCTGAAATAATCTGGGCTGAGCCCAGACCCTAATAAGCAACTAGAAAGTGTTGATATGCCTCGAATAATTACAGATTCATGGGCACTCTCCTGAAAAGTGTATTTTCCACAACAGTGATGTTATGACATTTCTGACGACGGTTCGAACCTTGATAGGGGCAGCCTCAATTTTTTGGGTTATTTTTGTCATTTTGCTTGAATTTTACTCACAAAATGAGATTTAATTTAATTGATAATTTATTTGTTTATTGAACATGTCGTGATAAACTGCATTTCATGTAGGAATCAGCCAACATTTACATCTGAATCACCACTAAACACGGTCACAACTCGTTTAACAAAAATGTATTTCAGTTATTCATTTACTTGTTTCGCGAGCCTCTGTCAAGGCTTTATTTAGCTGAAAAAAATGTCTAATATCCACCATTTCTGCCTGTTGTCTCTTTCAAACCGACTCTGACTCAATCTAGGCAGTGCGACACAGATACTTCAGATCAGATTAACCAATAATAAGTTGTATATCGTTTCCTCCTAATGCCATTACAGCATCTATCAATGTTGCTAAACTGTTGATCGCTCAGTTTCGAAGTTGCTCATAATTAATCACTCAAATGATCTCCCTCACATCTATGTTGACTGTCAGACAGTAACTTTGCATACACGTCATGAATATCAATAATTAAAAGGTGAGTAACTGAGGAGTAGAAACATATGAAAGTTTTCCAAAATGTCAATTCATTTCCAGAATACATCTGGGCTAGAGTTTGAAAATGGTTTTCATTTAATATAGAGACTTTTTGAGTAAAAGAATCACGTTTCCCATACAATTAGACCAACGTGAACAACATGTTATTAAAATCAAAACATTGTCATGACCCCTTTAAGAAATGATTTAGTGATTATTTTTCTTCTCACTCCTTATACTTTTGGTTTTCTTCTACAAGTATGTTTTTCTCCTAAACTCCTTTTTACCTGCTCTTTTACCTATTCCCTCTTTGGACCGGTGGATCAAATACTCATCAGACCCCATTTCAGATTAGCTGTTTACAATCATTAATTCATCTTCCAACCTACCTGTTTTTCCCATCCGGGGACGCCGTGGGTCTGCTGGTGCCTATCTCCAGCGCCTGTCTATATTGTTTTCTTTCTAAACTTGAACAGCTAATTACTTTATTTAAACTAGAAAAGATAACATCAGAGAATCCAATAAAAAACAAATTTCACCAAGGAAGGATTTTGTTACAACCACTGGCCAGCAAGATCATTGTTTACCCTGCAGGAGATATTGGTGTGAGTGGAAACAAGATTACAATAGAAGAGCCGGGAGACATGTCAGGCTCAATGCTAAGCCATGTAAACCCACACTACCTTGTCTGTTTCTCTTCAATTCTCGACTGATTGTCACCAAAGTGAATGGAATTAAACTGAGGCTTTCTTAACACCACATAGATAGCTGTGTGATGATTATTACAGAGACAGGGATAAATGAAAACATTCCTGACAATGCTATTGAGCTTGCATGCAGCTAAAGCCACCAAACAGATTGACCATCGGGATCTGGGAACGTCGGAGGATTTCATCCAATTTCAGTCTGCAACACGTCTCCCAGGGTATAGACTTCCTTAAGCTCAAATTCAGTTGATTCCCATCTGTCTATCATGGTTGATTGATTTCTAAGTTTCCACTCATCCATAACTGAACTTAATAAAAATAAAACCCCGCTCATTGAATGTATGCCTTGTCTAGCTTTTGGGTGAGTCTACTAATGCTCCAGTATTGCCCCGCCCCTCATACGACGCTGCTCCAACCCTCGGAAGGGACGGAATGCTCTCAGTCTTTCTATTCAGATGTGCTACCCTCAGTAGTAGCATGTGCTAATTTGGAGGTGGAAGTGTCAGTTATGTTCTCGAAATCTGCGAAGGTGGTCGGGTTATAGATGCCTTCACCCTCTGACCAGCCTTCTTTGGGGCTGAAGGATTGGTTTCTGGGGTGGTACCATGACTCAGTTCCCCACATACTTTAAGAGCCTTTCTTTACCTAGGTGCTTTAGGAACAAAATTGAGGCATTCTAGCTTTTCCCACTTCACTACTCTTAATGATGGGGCAGCTCCATTTCCCAGATGGAGAAGGTTGTCGTGGTGCATCTCTAGCAGTGCTGCCACTTGATGGTTTCACCCAAGTGTCCCCTCCAATATCGAGAAAATGAGAAGTTTATTCATC